AAAACACCTAACTTCTTATTTTTTAGATTTTGTGAGAGTTTTTAGCACTAATCCTAGATATAAAAAACAAGACAAATTAATTAATCAGTTGATGTAATCAGGGGATGTAGTGCTGTAATCGGATGGTGTAGTGCTGTAATCAGGGGGTGTAGTGCTGTAATCAGGGGGTGTAGTGCTGTAATCAGGGGTGTAGTGCTGTAATCAGGGGATGTAATGCTGTAATCAGGAGATTTAATGCTGTAATCGGATGGTGTAGTGCTGTAATCGGATGGTGTAGTGCTTTAATCAGGGGGTGTAGTGCTGTAATCAGGGGATGTAATGCTGTAATCGGATGGTGTAGTGCTGTAACCGGGGCGGTGTAGTGCTGTAATCAGGGGATGTAGTGCTGTAGCCATGGAATGTAGTGCTGTAATCAGGGGGTGTAGTGTTGTAATCAGGGGTGTAGTGCTGTAATCGGATGGTGTAGTGCTGTAATCGGGGTGGTGTAGTGCTGTAATCAGGGGATGTAGTGCTGTAGCCATGGAATGTAGTGTTGTAATCAGGGGGTGTAGTGTTGTAATTGGAGGGTGTAGTGTTGTAATCAGAAGGTGTAGTGCTGCTGGAGTGCTCCGATTGAACACCTGAAGTCCATAGATGGAAATTTTGTTTTGAATATGAGTTATTTAATCATATGGAGACGTCATACGTGTAAAAGAAATGTTGGCAGAACTCCGGCACTATAAAACTTAGCATTACACCACCGGAACTTCTTGTGGAGACGTCACACGTGTAAAAGAAATATTGGCAGGACTCCGGCACTATAAAACTTAGCATTACACCACCGGAACTTCTTGTCTTATTTAACTGAAGTCCAATGACGTAGTAGTTCACCATTTCATATGAATTTTAACACGTCCCTCAGGAACCAAGAGGTGTCTGTACACTACAATTTGTTGAATATTAAAAGTAAGTTCAATTCGGAAACTCCCAAAGATGGTGGTTTTGGACGTATCTTTTCGAGACAAGTTTTCGTTTGTTAATTGATAAGTATTTAAGTGAAATACAGCATCCTCAAGTCTCCGTACTAGTTAGTACTAAGGTCTACCCGTTGGTAGTAAATTCAGTATATATCAACAAAGCCACATTCTCAGCATCATTAATTAAACAAATGTCAACCTTTTATGCTTCTTTTTATGTTTAGCTTTCAACTGAGATATGAACGATTTCACCTGCGATTCGGTAGGGAAGGTCGAAGCATCACGATAGTCAGCAGTAGGATGAGCAGACAGGAACACTTTGAAAGCAGCTACAAGCTTAATATTGTACTCGGCTTGCTGCACAATATCTACCAAGGTGGTTCTAAACGATTCCTAAATACCTCTGTGTGTCATTTGGAGACTTCCGTGCTTCTTGTGCTTGGCCGTTAAGCTCGTGATGCCCTGGACAGATTTCAGTCACCTTACCACTTCAAATCGCTTTTCGCAGCCTCAACGGTAAAAGAGTGCGGGAAATGCCTTCTTCTTAGCCAATAAACATGTCCAAAAAATTTCAGTTCCAATTAAGAAAAACTGGATTAAGTATTTATTTTTTTTCAACAAAATGTGCCCAACTGGCTCGTGAGGAGTATTGTTAACATTTTTATTCCGATAACACACAAAGAAGACAACCCTTGTTATTCTGATATCAAAGTACGATTGAAATTATTTTGTTTTATCCTATAATGTGTTTTTTTTTGTACCAGATATACTACGTAGGTGTGTGTGTGTGATATTTTTATTTTATTTTTAAACAACAACAACAAATTAATCGAAATGCGTTTCTTGTTTTCCGTAGCACCGGTTTTCCTAAAAATCCGTGGTGATTAGCAGTTAAAAATACTTCGAACTCATGCAGTAGAAAACAGCTTTATCTCTGTTTATATAAACATACATAAACAATTGAAAGCTTACCTGTTCTAAAATTCACAACAATATCTAAAAGGAAAATGGTGTCAGAAAGACAGTTGAAAGCAATCCAGCGAGCTGATAGGTCATCATTGAAGAATGAAATAGCTACTGGTAGAACGATGAGGTTTGCCACCAGGAAAAACAGCATGCATAAGTCCCAATAGAACCTTAGAAAAACAACAATAAACGTCTTACTATTACCGAATCGATATGATAATTGTTGGTGTTAACTAATTTGGATATACGATTGTTTTAATAGATGGTTAAACAGTAATCACCAACCAATCATTTGTTATCTCTCTTCGATAATAAACAAAAACCGCCATCTAGCTTTTGTAATTAATGATTAAAACAAATAAATATCATCAAACGCCATTTTCTATTCGTTAGATGACATAAAAACTAAGAAAACAGAGCAATTATTCTTATATGTATAAGGTCAATATTCTCCGACGTATTTAAAGGCTGTCTTTTAATTGTTCATATAGATATATGTCGTTCACTAATACTGCTCTCTGAAGCATAAAACTAAGAAAACAGCGCTATTATTCTTATAATGATAAGGTCAATATTATCCGATGTATTTAAAGGCTATCTTTTAATTGTTCATATAGATACATGTCGTTCACTAATACTGCTCTCTGAAGCATAAAACTAAGAAAACAGCGCTATTATTCTTATAATGATAAGGTCAATATTATCCGATGCATTTAAAGGCTAACTTTTAATTGTTCATATAGATATATGTCGTTCACTAATACTGCTCTCTGAAGCATAAAAACTAAGAAAACAGAGCAATTATTCTTATATGTATAAGGTCAATATTCTCCGATGTATTTAAAGGCTATCTTTTAATTGTTCATATAGATATATGTCGTTCACTAATACTGCTCTCTGAAGCATAAAACTAAGAAACGTAAACGACCAATGAAGTTGCCGCCAAAAGTTGAAAAAGTTAAAAAATAAAATAAAAATATTCATTATCATATTTACACGTATAGCCTCACCAAAACTAACTTACCGTTTCCTATTTTTACCTCAGCTACGAGGGGTTTTTAACACCTAATGACTATCTTAAAATTTGTTTGTTTTCATTCTTCAAAACTTTTCAATCTTACGAGTATATCTACGCTCTTCGTATTTTGACTTTATTTAATGAATCAGAATTTTTCAATAATCCAAAATTTCTTTTCGTATTGGAATATTATTGGAATATTATGTATCACAAGGCCGAGATACATGGTGACCCACTGTAAACTGTCGTAAAGTGGGTTTGCGTATTAAAATACATATATAATGGACCATTTCCACGTCATGAAAATAAAATACTTTTCACTACACAGACGATAAAAGAAAGACAAACAGTTCTAAGTGCTATGTAATAAAACGATAGTGAAACCTGAGGCGACGACATTTTCAATTCACAATACGCCCCCTTTTAGATTAGTCTATAAATCTTACCTTGAAAATTAGCCCTCGAAGGTTTCTTCGGATTTTATTTAGTCATAAACGGGTCTTCTTTATGCCCTGAGTATATTTGATGATTTATTTTTTTGTGAAAGACTGAATCAGCGTTTCTCCAAGATCGTTACTCTTCATGAACGACTACTTTAAAATCTATTCATCTTATGATTATATTGCTTATTTGGCTGTAGTAATTTCGTGCATGTTAACTCTTTTGAGAGCTTGAACAATTATTTTTTGTTAAAAACTCCAATTACAACGAAATCCTTAGTCGAATGGTCTGATAATAATAGGCAATTCGACAATAATTGTTGCTTTTAAAACACCGAATTTTGTTTTAGAACGCTTTTAAAACAGATTATCAAAATAACCTGTACAATATCTGTAAGATACTTCAAAACAGATTAGCAAACAAACTAACCTGTACAATATCTGTAAAGTACTTCAAAACAGATTAGCAAACAAACTAATCTGTACAATATCTGTAAGGTACTTCAAAACAGATTAGCAAACAAACTAATCTGTACAATATCTGTAAGGTACTTCAAAACAGATTAGCA